TATTTTGTTTACATGGATAATGTTTATAATTTTTAACCAAGTTGTAAGTTACTATTCGTTTTTTTTTTTTTGGCTTCGTATTCTTTCGTTTATTTAGAAAACTAAAATTGTACCCATGAGGATGTGATGCTGACCTATTATTTTTTAATGAGATGTAATTATCATTGACATCTTATCATGTTTTGTGTATATCCAAATATGTCATGACCCCGCTCCCTACCATCCCCGCCGGACCTACAAAGGGTTAGCCCCGGGCCAATAGGGCATGGGGTCACAATAGGGCATGGGGTCACAACCACACGTAGTGAGTGCCACTCGGGCTGGAGTGCTCTCAACACTTTGAAAAGAAGGAATTTCCAGTCTCAAAGCCAACCACAAAAGAAACGAAAATCGAAACACAATACATGTAACCATAGTCTGCTGGACAAACAAGTTCCAAAATACATATAACAGTCCAAGATAGTACATATAGGTCTAAGGCACAAAAGGCCCAACATCAAGACGTATATCAACTTAGAAATGACTATATAGCTAGCAGCCAACTAAAACTTATATTGTAAAATGGAGCTTCAACAGTAGGGGAGTAAGGGACCCCAAGCACGACCACCAGCACCTACCACTCCAAACACGTTGGCTATCACTCTATATAGAGGAAAAATTTAAAAGAGTTTGTTGTAAAGTCCACCTGTGCACTCATCCACCCACGCTCCACGCGCACTCGTCTACCCGCGCTCCACACGCACTCGTCTACCTGCGCCCAACTGCACATTCATCCATGCGTACTCATCTACCCGCGCTCCACGTGCACTCGTCTACATCCATTTCTCCGGAAAAGTCCCAGACCTTACAAAATGACATTAAAAATATTTAATGATGTATCATGTTAGATTGAATTATCATATTGGTGATAGATGTTCATTAGATAGTGGGAGTAAATCATCGCTTACCAAATTAGAATTGAATTTATTAGCTCAATAATGATCAATGTACATTAAAAAAGTGAGAGCAATTTTGTGTTATTATGATGACAACCGCATAGTAAGAATAATAGGTGATAACGTCATCGACTTGAAACTTATTGAACATGTGAACCATAAATGATATTATATTTCTTTCTTTTATTATTGTTAAGGTTGAGACCACTTAAAGATTTCTTTATGTATATAATAATACCAACAAATTCGTTAAATTAGTATTGCTTTTATTATTTTGACCTATGATCCGAATCTAAGCTTTGGACTTAAAAAACTAGTGGTGGATGACATGTTTAAGAAATAAGCAGAAGCCACGGGCTTTTTTTTTCTCTTGGCTAAAAGATAGATGTAAATAAAATTCAACAAGTTAGTGAATAATTGGTAAGGTATATGAGAAATCTCATACAGGTAGTATGAGGCAATGCTATGTACAAAACCATTGCGGCCATGAAATCTAAGTGTGGTGTTTGACCACATTGGCAGGGTACATGTGAAATCTCACGTAAGTAGCATGAGGCAATGCTATATACAAGGTTATTAACGCCAAAAAATCAAAGTGTAGTGTATGAACACTCTGGTAAGGTATATGAGAAATCTCATGTAGGTAGCATGAGGTAATGCTATATACAAAACCATTGAGGCTAAGAAATTCAAGTGTGGTGTTTGACCACATTGGCAGGGTATATGTGAAATCCTATACAAGTAGCATGAGGCAATGCCATATATAAGGTTATTGAGGCTAGGAAATTTAAGTGTAATGTATGACCATTTTGGCACGATATATGTGAAATCCCATGCAAGTAGCATGAGGCAATGCCATACACAAGATTGTCGAGGCCATGAAATCTGAGTATGGTGTATGACCACATTGGCAGGGTATATGTAAAATCTCATGCAAGTAGCATGAAACAATATTATATACAAAACCATTGAGGCCAAGAAATCCAAGTGTGCTGTTTGACCACATTGGCAGAGTATATGTGAAATCTCCTCCAAGTAGCATGAGACAATGCCATATACAAGGTTATTGAAGTCAAGAAATCTAAGTGTGGTGTATGACCACTCTGGTAAGGCATATGAAAAATCCCATGCAGATAGCATGAGGCACTACCATATATAAAACCATTGAGGCCAAGGAATCCAAGTGTGGTGTTTGACTACATTGGCAGAGTATATGTGAAAGCACATGCAAGTCGTATCAGATAATGCCATATACAAGGTTATTG